CAAAGTCACCAAACAATCCAAACAAACTATTTCTTTTAGCACTTTTTTCTTTCTTCCATTTCTCTTTCTGGGGTTGCTGTTTAATCACAAAGTTCCAATTAAGATATATCTTTTAGAAGTCTTATTAATATTCAATAGCTCTTTAAAATTCTAGGCAATCTCCTCCTTGTTTTCAAATTCTGCTCCAATTTTTTTTCCTCTCCCTTCCCACTTACAGCAAGAAAGATTTTTCTTTAAATGTTCAGAAATCCATATCCCTTTAGCATTTAATTACCTCCAATGCGGGTTTTCCGATTTCTCTTAAATTTCTATCGCTGTCACGTTCGGAAGGAGAGTGAAAAGAAAAAAAGCTTTTCCTTTAACTTCCATTTGCCGCTTAGCACACTCTGGAAATGATGTATCTTTAGTAAGTTTTAAGTTCCAAGTTACTTTCACTGTTACTTTGTCCCGGTCAGCAAAGATCACTTTCATTTCTTCACAGCTCCTCCTGCACTTTCTTTTTCCGGCTGAGCTCTTCTATGTGGCGGCCATTGCTGACCGCCGCTCAGCTGCCTTTGGAAAATGGGGTTTAGCCGGCTAGGGAAGAGAGGTGCGATATCTCTCGACCCTGCCAGAGCCCCCCTGTCTTTGCCACCTTCTACGGAGGTGGCTTAGCCCCAAAGCCGGATGGCTTGGGGCACTCGGGCAGTGAACACAGGCAGAAACCGCGTACAGTCGTGGATTCCTGCCTGCTCCGAAGTGCTACAGACCGGAACAACAGGAGTACATTATGTTCTTCTTTTCTGCTCCAGAGATTTGAATACTCTCAATTTCTCAGAGGAATGCTAAGTAGTCCCTCATAAAACCCAGACATCTATTTAATTGGAACATAGGAGTAAGGATCTAAGACTTTGGGTCCATCTGTGGCCCCTAAAACTCTTTTTATGGCTGATGATTCTCCATCCAGCCAAAAGAATGAGGAAAGTCAAACAATAAAAAGGGATTTTTTTAAAAAAAATCTGACAATTGCAAAAATTAAAAAATAGGGACAAGCCAAGTTGCTTAAAAGAGGGAGTCCAGTGATCTGTCAGGAAACAAGGATCAAAAATATTGCTTAATAACATTTCTTGGATTTTCTGGTGAGCGATCAACAGTACATAATTTCAATTCTGCTGAAATGACTGAAGCCTGATTAATAATTGCAAAAATTGGGAGTTGATTTTTTTTACTTTTATGAGAAATGTACACAAAATAAAATGTAAAACTTAAAACAAGCGTAATATTTAAATTATCCAACCTGTCTCCTCACTAGCCAGTTTTATCATTTCATATCAATGCCAGCTATTATCTTGAACCCAACGTGTTCTTCAACAACATATCATATTGGATTAAATGAACTTTTGAAAACTTTAGGAAAATGATACCGAGATACCAAAAATAGTCTTCCATTGATGCTGATGGCTATTCCATTCTCTTGATAAAAATGAAGTGATAAGACAGACATGTTTTCATGATGCCCTCAGCATTGGCCATGCTGGCTGGTGTTGCTGGGAGTTGTGGTTCAAAACCAATTGGAGACCACAATTTTTTTCCACCAAGACAATGGAAGTGGCAGTAGTGGACATTATTTCTGAGTAGGGTCTCATGGTGTTCTGAAAATCCGAAGGTGTGAACTGATCAGACTTGAAAATTCTATATAGGTTAAGGAGGATATTTACAGTCCCAGAAGTCATGTTTCTTGATCTTGAAGCCTGATCTTGTATTTGTGGTCTATGTGCTAGAGAGGATTTCCTGTATCCTTCTCTTTCTGTAAATCTTAGAAAACAGTTGTCCTAAAGGTGCTTTCCCAAAAGGCAACTGGGTTTTCTTGATTTTATTTTTCCTTGAAAATATTTCACGAAACATTTTCAAAGAAAAAAAAAACTCAATTACTTTTGGAAAAGCACCTTTGGGACACCCATGACCTGAATGATTAAAATCTCCAGAGTCATTTTAAAAAAAATATTCATTATTTTGTCAAAGATTTCTGTCACTATGAAATTTGGAGTCTCAGATGAGAGTTTATTGTTTTATTGGTTGATATTGGGTTTTTATTCTTTGTAAGCCACCCAGAATCACCTAGAGTGAGTGAATGACCATATACATTTTCTAAATAAATAAATAAACACTCCCAGTTCTGGAATTTATTTGCTTGGAGTATGTTCTAATAGTTTGTCTGATGTATCAGCTGTGGTGTAGCAGTAGCAATCTCAACATTCATTATGATATACAGAGCAGCTCTTGAAGATGGTTTGAAAAATACAATTAATACAAAATTCAGCTACAAGAATTCTGCTTGTTTTTCTGTCGAAAGCAAGTGGGTGAAGTCAGGGGTGGGATTCAAATTTTTTAACAACTGATTCTGTGGGCGTGGCTTAGTTGGTGGGTGTGGTTTGGTGGTCATGTGACTGGGTGGATGTGGCTTGGTGGCCATGTTATTGGCTGGGCGTGGCCAACTCAATATCACTCACAATGAGGCACGCATCTCCTCACCTGGCCTCTCATGGCTGTGGGGATGCTGCAACAGTCGTAAGTGTGGAAAATGGTCATAAGTCACTTTTTTCAGTGCCATTGTAACTTTGAATGGTCACTCCACACAAGCAAAGTACCAGCAAAGGAGGGAAAAAAACTCCAGAGAAGTTCCTGAGACAGGAAGTCTAGTCCTGCCAAGAATGTAATAAGGTTTAACGGAGAGGCAGTTTCTGTAAGCAACACCAGAATGTTTCCTTCCTGCCTTCCTTACAGGATTAGGTCAGTGATTTCTTCTAACAACCAGTTCTCCAAACTGCTTAGAATGTTAACAACCAGTTCTACCGAATAGATGCGAACTGGTAGAAACCCACCCCTGGGTGAAGTGGCTAAAGCATTGAAATAGGGTGGGGCAAACTGAGGTATAATTGTGCTATCAGATGTAGATGGTCATTGGTTGACTTTGTACTTGTTACTCCCTCAGAACCCAACTGATTTATTGTCAGGGAGAATGAAAGAAAAAGTATTCTGTAAACAATCTTGAATTCTTGTGGAAGATAGGAAATACCAGTTGAATAAATAATAAATATTGGTTAAATTATTATTTATATCTAAGCACAAATGGGCAGTGTGCTGGCTCAGTTGATAAGATGCTCGGCTTATTGGCTGAAAAGCTGGCAGTTGAGATTCGAAACCCAACTGCCACCTGATGGGATGAGCTTCCATCCTCACCCCAAGCAGTTCAACCAACCAAGCAGTTCAACCAAGCAGTTCAAAAGCATGTAAATGCAAGTAGATAAATAGGTATCACTTTGGTGGGAAGGTAACAGTGCTCTTTGGTGTCATGCCGGCCACATGACCATGGAAATGTCTTTGGACAGCACTGGATCAATGGCCTTGAAATGGAGATGAACACAGCCCTCTACAAAGCAATGACTAGCAGAATAAAATCCGCAGGGACTCCTTTTTTTTAACCAAATAAGGCTTGATAGTTCATTAAAGATTCTTTCAATGAATATTCAAGCAGTCATAATTCACCCTGAGATTATTTTGTGCAGTGAATACAGGAAAAAAAAACCTTGGCCGTATTTTTTGGTAACTTTGTAATACTAGATCCTAAAAGAATTACATGCAGGTTCCGCTTTCAACCATTCCTACCAAAATAATAATAATAATAATTTTGGAGAAGAAAACCATTATCTGGACTTATGTTCCCTTTGCCTTTTACAACCATATGTAATAATGAACTGTCAAAGCAACCTATGTTGGAAAATTAAATGTTGATTTCTATTTTACTTGAAAATGTAATATTTCCTTTAATCCCATATGTTATTTCTAAGCCCTTGATGTTGGCTGCCTCTGAAAGAATAGTCATAAGCAAAAAGGACTGGGTCTACTACTATGGGGATGAAGCCTCTTTTACATTGTAGTTTGTCTTAAATATGAATTTGTCCATTCCAATGGGAAATTTTTTTATGCTTTTAAAAGAATGTGTCTTCACTCTGTACCCTTCACTCTTGGGGGGTATATTTTTCCATCATTGCCATCCTACTGATGGTCATCAAAAGTTGTAGTTCTTTGACACTGGCTTGGAGACACAGTTCTTAATTCCCTATGGGTTCGGCTAGTTTTCTGATGAATTCCTCCCTCCCTCCTTGGAAAGATAATCAAGGTAGCTGATACAGAATTGCGTCGATCAACAAATTATGGGTGAATGATTGAATGAACGTGGGAGAGAGAGAAAAAAAGGCAGGGGGAGGAGCCTTCCCCCTCCTTCATTTACTCACTTACCAAGCATATAAATCCTGATTGTGAGAGCTGTTAACAGAGGCAATTGCAAGATTCAACTTGAAGATTGCAGAGCTTCAGCATCTCTTCATATCCAGCTTTGCCTTTGTACTTCCTTTTCACAGTGAGTAGCTAGGGCAGGGTGGAGGAAATTCAGTGATGAAAAAGTGCCATTGTGCATTTTATGAAATAGATGGACAAGGTTATTGCTACCTCACATCCCACCTTACTTTTATATGTGTGCTTTATTGCAAGCAGATGTTTGTGTTCCAGTGAAGTCAGGATTAGACTGGTTTTAGAAAAGCATTGTCGGCAAATGCTCCACAGGACCAAACTCTTAACCAGAGCTTGACAAACTAGACTGAAGATATCAATGAAACTGATATTCAGTAGGATGGGACGGTGCATTTAGACAATTGTTAACCTACAAATGATAAGTATGTGTAATATCAAATGATTTTATACATACAGAGAGAGGGGGGGAGGGAGGGAGGGAGGGAGACACACACACACACACACAGAGAGAGAGAGAATACAATATACAAATTATAAGTTTCTCCACAATATCTTTTACTAAGCTTATTTTGGGTACAACAGTTAATACAGAGGGTAGACTTCATTCAAAACATGAGAGTATCAGATTTCTTGCAGTCTAACATCTAGGGCTAGTCTGGTTTATTCACTATATTTTTATGAACTTGTCAGTATTATTTGTTTCCTCCTAGATGGTTGCCTCTCTGAAGTCTTGGCCTCTTGTGATTGCCATGGCTCTTTGCATCATGTTCTGTCTGGGAACTTTTGTGGAAGCCTATCCACCCAAGCCTGAGAGTCCTGGAGAAAATGCTTCACCAGAAGAAATGGCAAAATACCTTGCTGACCTTCGGCATTACATTAACTTGGTGACAAGGCAAAGGTGTGAAAAAGCATGAATGTAGTTTTTGTAGTCGTGGGCATGTTTCATGGGTGGTGTTCTATGCCATTTGTCCACCTGTGAATGCTACCTTGATTTCTTTTATTTCTTCTTAATGTACAATGGATAAGAATTTGTTGTGTGGATCCAAAGAATAGGAAGAATTAATGTGGCCTTGTTTCATTCAAGCTTCCATCTCCAAGCACATTTTGTTAAAAAATTTTCTAAGTGAAAAATTTGCAGTAGCAAATTGGTAAATACATGTAAGGGGAAATGCAAGAATGTTGGCTGAGAAACTATAGAGTTTACTTGAATATCTTAAATCATGATTATTCAATGCATGAGATTTTTATATCAGATCTGCCTAGAAACTATGGATTCTTTTCATGTTGCATCTATCTTCAGCCAAGTACTTCAAAAAGTATCAAAATTCAAATTTAATTTAAATCTATCCTGATAGAATTTACAGATTTCATCCTGATAAATTCTATGTTTGTCGGTCACTTAATAAGCATGTGTGGTGCATGCACTTTACAAACACTTTAATGGGTCCTTCCTGTTGCAAGTGTGTGCATACATAATGATGCTCTTAATCTCCAGGGAATGCTGTGCTTTGCAGTCTTTTAGGAGGGAATGAGGAACTCAGCTCTAAAATGCTCCATTAGCTTTTTTCCCCCCTGTTAGTGTTGGTTGTTTGGAACAGCTCATTACCTGGACAGTGTTGGGCTTTTAGATTTATTGATTGTAGATGAGTGAATGGTCATTAATTCCTGAAGCCCAACACTGCCCAACAGAAACCAGCCATGGAAGCCTACACCATCTCTCATTTCTTAGAAGCTTAATTGGAAAACAGATCCAGGAGACTACCAATAAGCACTTGTCTCTCTCAGTTGTTGGTGTTTATTCCTGTGTTACTTTTGAACTCTTCAGTGTCCATGGTCTAGTCATAAAGTTGAGAAACTGTTCTTTTTTTTTTTTTACTGAGCCATGGAAAAGCAGTGAATTTCTTCCTTAGAAGCCAATCAAAGAACTTTTTCTTGTTAGCAGCCAGAAGTCAACTTATAGATTTTCTTCTGCATAAATATTCTTGGATCTTAGAATAAGTAGGAAAATATTGACAGTTCAGAGGGATGTGGTGGCTCAGTGGCTAAGACGCTGAGCTTGTCGATCAGAAAGGTCGGCAGTTCAGCTGTTTGAATCCCTAGCGCTGTGTAATGGAGTGAGCTCCCGTTACTTGTCCCAGCTTCTGCCAACCTAGCAGTTCGAAAGCATGTAAAAATGCAAGTAGAAAAATAGAGATCACTTTGGTGGGAAGGTAACAATGTTCTGTGTGCCTTCAGCATTTAGTCATGCCAGCCATGTGATCATGGAGACGTCTTCAGACAGCACTGGCTCCTCAGCTTTGTAACGGAGGTGAGCACCACCCCCTAGAGCCAGAAACGACTAGCATGGATGTGCGAGGGGAACCTTTATCTTAGTTTAGTTGTGAAACCATTGAATCATAGGGCTGTAACTTTAGGTCTTCTAGTCCAACTCTCTGCCCAAGGCAGGGGTCCTTATAACATCTCAGGCAAATGCTTGCCCAATCTTTTCTTGACACCTTCCAGCAAAGAGGCACATCTTCAATATAGCTGAACAACTGCTCTTTGCTAGCTACTATTAACTTGGAATATTTCAACAACTTCCTATGAAACTCTGGACCTATTTTCATTCAGGATAATTAAAAAGAATGGAGAAACAGAAAAAAGGGTCTTAAAAGATATGTCTTCTGATTTTTGCTCAGACTTAGTTGATGAATCTCTTACAGATAGTTCTTGACTTACAATCACAATTGGGATCAGAATTTCAATTGCTAAACAAGGTAGTTGTTATTGCATAAAATTGCACCCAATCTCATGATCTTTTTTATTAGATATTAAGTAGTTGTTAAACAAATCATATTAAATGCAGAATATTAAGCAAATTTGGCTTCCCTTGTTGCTTGTCGGAAGCCAGCTGGGAAGGTTGCAAATGGTGATCACATGATCCCAGGACACTCTGCAACCATTGTAATTAAATGCTGGTTGCCAAGCATCTAAATTGGGACCGCATGATGCTGCAATTATGTTATGTGTGAACACTGGTTGTAAGTTACTTTTTTCAGTGCTTTTGAACTTTGAATGATCGCTGAATAAAGAGTTATAAGTGGATGTGATGACCCGGAGTGTAACACAAATGTAACAAAATCCAAAATGTAAATAAATGTCCTTTAATGCCTCCAACTTGGCCCCACTGTTCAATAATTCTCAGTTGGTGATAAAACTTATTCAAAAATAGTCTTCAAAAGAAAGCAATACAGTCCGAACTTAATGAGCAGATAGAGATAAATAAAAAACTAAAACAAACTACAATGAAGGAATTTCCACAACGGACCAGGATAAGTAATTACCAATTTCAAGGAGATAACAAGGCACAGTCTGTTGGAAGGACACTAACCAAGTTAACTTCAGCCCAAAATAACACCTCTTTGCTTCTGGCAACACTGTGTTTTAACCGTCTCTCTTATATACTATTCTCCCCAGCTACAACCAATGAGGGGGATCATGGCCGCTTCCTCTCTCATAAGCCAAGTTGTTTCCTTCTCCATTCCTCCCTGTGTGTCCTAGGATGAAGAGGGGATGGGCCTGGTTCTTCCTTTGACTGCCCAGCCGGCTTCTGCCCGTCCCCAGCCTTCTCCACAACCTCCGGAGCCACACATCCACTCCCTGTCGGCTGTTCCTCCTCTCTCTCAGAGTCTGACTCTAACAGGGCAGAGTTGGGGCATGACAGTGGAAGAGTTATCTGCATAATGTGACACAAAAGTGCTTTTTCACTTGAAGCAACTGGGACTTTCTTGTTTTTCCTTTGAAGATGTTTTGCTTCTCATACAATAAATGTCTTCAAAAGAAAAAAATGAGAAAGTCCAGTTGCCTCCTGAAAAAGCACCTTTAGGAAAACCATGACCTGGATGACTGAGAATCTCGACAGATTGTATAAAGTGAGCACTCAGATTTTGCAATCAGCTGTACACCCCAAATCTCAACAAGTGGCAATACTGAGGCAACTTTTTTCTGGAACTGGAAGCTAAGCAGGGTTAAGTCCGGGTGATACTTCGAGGGAATTCCATAGCTATAAGCTAAATGGAAAAAAAATTTAAAATCCCAGAAGAAGACAGTGCTTAAATACTGGCATATTGTTGCCAAGAAATTACAATGAGAATTCTAAGGAGTCAAACTTGAATCTGCTAAATGAGAAAATATAGGGCTAAGGCCTGATGGATGCTTACAATTCCTTGCCTTAAGCTTGGTTGTGCAGAAATGGATGGTGGACTCCCTAACTGTTAACAATTTGCAGAAGATCTGTAACTAAAATTTATTTAGTTATTTATCCATTTTGTTCATGATTTGTTTTATTTATATCCTGCCTTTTCATTCATCCATCCAGGATGATTAGGGAGTTAACAGAACATGATATGTAGAAATAAGATAAAAGCAAGACAAACAAAACACAGTTAAAATACTTAAAAAGTAATATCATGTTATACTTATTATTCCAGGTAATCAGTCCTAGCTGTAGGATTTTTATTTTTTTTTTGTAATTGCAGGGATCCTGTACAAGGAAAAAAATGAATAAAATTCGGGAATTTTTTTCTCTCCAAGGAAACAACTGGGGAGCCTTAACTTAGTTACTCAATCTTTGCTTTTTATAATCAGGTTTGGCAAGAGATCTATCCCAGGGACCTTGATGTCAGAGCTTGTTTTTGGAGACAACAGTAATAGCAGATCAAGGTGGGTCTAAACAATTCGTGTTATAAGGGTGCTACAATCCATTCCATTCCCATTTCTATTTATTAAAAATAACTTGTGATCATCTTTACCTCTGTTGACTTTGGCATAGTGAGTAAAAAAAAAAAAAGAGCAAAGATGAGCAATTAATCACTGTCCTCGCTGAATTGGTGCAACTCCTAATATAATAAATCTCCCACAACATGAAAATATACTAAATTTCTACTACCACTACCGATTTTATAAGCTGTGCATTTCTCTGGTTGTATGCAAAAAGAAAACAAAACCTAGTTTCTGAAGTTGCAAATCCATCAGGGCACCATTCACTTTCTAGGCTGCAAGTGACCCCAGAATTCCTGGATAAATGGATTATCTAGAAGTTATCTTACAAATTTTGTGGAGTTTGCAGGCTTTCAAATGGTTTCAAAAGAAACATCTCTACAGTTTCAAGTATATAAAATCTGATTAGAAATTGAATATCATTTCTCAAATATTGCTTAAATCATGAAATCCAATAATTTAGAGGTTTATGGAG